GCTGCGAGGCAGGAGAGGATTCCTCCCTCAGCCCTAACCCTTCAATTGGCAGTGCCACGAAATCCATTAGCAGGCAGCGTGCGGCGAGGAGAGAAAGCCGAGCTCGGAGCAGGAGCAGAAGCAGGAGCCAGAGCCAGAGCCAGAGCAGGCGGTGACCATGAGGCTTTTATGCACGGAGCGTCCTGTCCTGCTTCGTTTTTCGGTTAACCATGGGCATTCCACTCCACCCCCGGCTCCATTGCCTGCTTTCAATCTCGACGAGACTCATAAACATATGCGCCTCACGTCGTTTGGCGTGAATTTAATGTGGCGGCGGCAGAGCAGAGTAGACGACTAGGACGACGACGACGACGAGGTTGACTCGACACCCCGGCAGCAATAGACTTTCAGACCTTCAGACAGACGCTTAGCCATTTGCCTGATGAGGTTACTGACTTTGGCGAATTAACTCCCACCAGGAACCCGGGAGCCAGAGCGTTCCTGGGGTCGCTGGCGGACCGGAAACCACTGCATTTTGTTTGGCCCGAAAACCGGGGTGGCACGCTTCAACGCCTCGGAAAATCTCAGGGGACACTTTAGCAGTACAATGCAGCATTTAGATAAACCGAGACTTTAGAGCCCTTCTGACTTGGAGTGTAGCCAGTGAAGTGAGGCTGGGGCCTGGAAATCAATCCTTCACCGCGGGGGTTTGTTCTTGTAGCCAGATTAGTTAAATACGAGTTCAAGGGTATCGCCGTCCTGGGGGTTTGTTTTGCTTTGCCCATTTAATTGAAATTAATAGCGGCCGAAATGGGAAGAAAAAAGCCATTCGAATTGGAAAGAATATTAATGATTCTAGATTGAAACATCTGTATTCTAAAGGATATAATATTCAGGGGATTATATTTATAATAATTTGAAGTAGTTTACAAAGCATAACTATAACAAATATTATAACAAATATTATTATATTTTGTATATTTATTTTAAGCATATACCTCTTTATTTTCCTTACCCTAATTTTATTGCTGTCTCTTCAACCGATTTATTCACTTCCACAGACAAGGGACTAACTTAGTCAACATATGCCACTAAGCGGCCTGTTATTTTAGCCACATTTCACCGGATTGCTGCCCCCTCCGATCTAATCAAACAATCAAATAGAAATAATCGGGCATATCAAAGCCCCCACTATATATATACACATGGACAAGTGCCCCGAAATCCGGAATCTGAAATCCAATTGGGACGGCTCACCGATGCTAGCTGCCATAAATTTTATTTATTTATGTGGGCACCGTTTTGTTTTCCGCTTTCGCCTGGGAACGGGGCACGGAGAAGGAGTATATATCGGCCCGAAAATCGACCATGAATATCAATGGGGGAATTGTGCGTCACCGGCACGCGCCGCCTTCATCCGATACAGTGAGACTCGGGCTTAGGACGGCGACTGCCTCCAAATCTTGGGCCAGACGCTCGTCCTCTCTGTGCGAGGGGGTGTGTTTCCCGGGGGCTATTGATATTGTTTTTATCAGCCAGACGAGGGGCTCGGCTCACGACCTGGCCGCGGGCCTGAAGACTCGAGCACTTGTGCTCCTGATGCGTATTTAATTTTATTTTATTCGGGATTTCTTGCACCAAAGGGGAAGTAAATCACGGCTACAGTTTTTTCCCTTTTGGGGTGGCCGATCCTGGACCGGGACCAGGACTCGATAGCCAAACACTATAAGCATATGTGTGCACATGTGTGTTCTTTGTGCCGGCTTACACTTGTCTTGAACCCAAAAAAAATTGACGTGGAGTGGAGTGTTGATTGCCCGCCATTGGCACACAAGATAAATGAGTGCCTGCCTTCGGAAACGGCAGCAGGAGCAGAAAACAGCAGCTTTCGTATTAAATTCATGAAAGTTAAGTGCTTGGTAATTGATGTTATAAAATATTTATGACAGACAGCCAGGCATCAGGCAGTTCCGTTGGTCCGAAACAGGTAAGAGAGCGGACTACAGTCCTTCACTCCAACTGATGGCCAAAGTTAGATTCGTCCCTTAATTGACATTAATTATTTAAAAGGACGTCGTGCGAATCCTTCGACCTAAGTGCCGCTCTTTGCCCTGCGGTAAACCTTGCTCCAAAAACGAGCCCTAACTAAGTTGGGCAATTGGAAAAAGTCCTGTTTTTATTTGGTACTTGCTAGTGCAATGCTTATACAGAAGTTTAGAAATAACTTTTATGCACTTAAAGAAAGTTTTATGTTTATCACGAAATTTGCTATTAAAAGATATTTTCTTTATCACATTTTCAGAGCAAAACATTAACAAGTTTATCAAGTCTGAAGGAAAGAAAACTCTCTGTCAATTCCTCTAGTTCTTCAAATTTGTATATGAGCACATAAGTTTCCTACAGTCAAGTAATCGCCGAATTAATAGTAATAATTTATCTCAGTGTCCTTTCTCAGCTTTAGTTTCAATTCAACACCCTGGCCAGCCAGACAGTGCTCAGGATTTTGACTTGGTTCACTTGACTGGACAAAAACACTCGCCCAACTGATGATAATGATGCTGTTGGCGACTTTGTGTTTGCTTATGCCGGTTGTGCTCCTGTGTGTCCTTGGTACAGGGTCCTTGCCGAGGCTGGCTTTGATGTTTCCCCCCCAAAGCAGGATGATGAATTATATTTGACATCTATGTGCTTGGACCCCTCTGCTGCGGCATTAACATGTGTGTACTACGAGTACCACGTGCATGCGCACCAAAAAACCACCCACCTTTTGCCATCCACTTGGATATGTTTATTTTACTGTCAAAACATTAAAGTAAACTCCGCCGAAGCCGCCGCTGTCGTATAGGGTTGATTGTTATCAAGGGGCGGTGTCGACAGCCTCGTACCTCGTACCTCGCACTCCTCAGAAATATGTATATCCCTGCGAGGGTGGAATATATGCACATATATCCCGCTGGCCACCTTCAGACAAGTCTATTTGCATATGTTGACGCGGCATACTCTCGCAGATCCTGCTGGATTTCCTGCTTAACTCGGAGAGCCCCAGACACACATGCCTTTTTGACAACTCATAACAATCACTCATCATAAACAAGGTCGGCGGAGGAGGAGGGATGACTCCAAGTTCACCTTAAAAAGTCAGCCAACAATAGACGTAGAGACAGCCACAAATTGCAGGTTGAGTCTTGAGCTGATACTCTAGTCGAAATAGGAGCAGAATCCCTCTGGCTTATAAGTTAATGACTTGCCAATTAGTTAATTAGCCAGCTCCTGCTGCGGCCTTCGACGTCTTATCCCTTTGATTGCCCCGGCCAGCTCAGTCAGGGAGTCTGAGTCCGATTCCGAGACGGGGCATCTTGCGGTCAATTAAAACAGTCCGCAGAATAATTGCCAAGAAATTTATTCGCTTCATTAACTTGTGAGGCAGCACGAAGTCAGCCAGAAAATTAAGTGAAATAATTAAATCTCAATCGGGATCTATTAGATTTGTGTGTTGCCTTTTTGGCATTGGCTCCGGTCCACGGCCCTTGTCAGCGTTCGAGGGGGGTTGAAGCTCACAGAGAGAGCTAATCTCCCCCAGCGAAAGGGGTTAACTTTGGTTAACGAGGGGGTTGAAAGTCCGGGGAGTCCTGACTCCACTTCGCCCTGAAAGTGCAACAGTCGAGGGGTTTAGACCGCTGACAACGACCATTTATCACCCACGCAGCATCTTTCATAATCAGGCTGGCCAAGCCAACCGACCGGCCAACGGATGGCAAAATGCAAATGACTCAGTCTGCCGCGGAGCTGCATATACATATAAAGGACCCGCGCTGCGCTGCCTCGCGGCCTGGCTTTTAATTTACAACGTCCAAACGGCTTTGGGCCCCAGCACATGTACGAGAGCCAGGCTGCCAGGCTGCCGGGCCGCCATCTTCGCCACAATGCCAGACAAAAGGTCGACACGTTCCCATTCCGGCCGACTTAATTAATTTATGCACTCATGGTCGGTCGCAATGCATCGGGGATCGGGTGAGGAGCCGACGGAAAGGGAGCGGGGAATGGGGAGCTCCCCGAGCAGGGCTGGCCAGTTTAGTCGGTCTTCGGCCAAAAGGTGGACATCATTTCTCCGCTACGACTCCGGTTCGGAGTCTTCTTGAAAACCCGCCTAATTTTAAAATTAATGAGCGGCATCTTGATGGCCGATGGCAGCGATAAGGCCCATGATTTTCGACTGTCCCCGCCAGGCAGAGAGAGAGAGAGAGAGAGATCCCGAGAGCCCACGTTAAGTAAATCACGTGTTTATTGGCACTTCACTTACGACACCGTCACCGCCAGGCCAGAAGTATAAGAGCCGTTCGTTCCGAACTGAGAAACGAAAACGACAATGAAAACCAAAATGGCATCACTCTATAGGGCCTGCACTCAATATACCGATCGGGGGGATCGGCCGGAGACTGGGGACTGGGGACAGGGGACTTCGGACTGGACCAACGTCATTAATTAGCTGGCCGTGAAGTGTGGGGAACGAATGGAAACCGACGTGTTTATTTGGTCTGTATGCCCGTTCAACAGCCCAAATGTATTGGGCCTTCATTTAGGAGTTCTTTTGTTTTGGAATCTTTTGCCGCTCGATGGTACAGTGGGGCCTGGAGAGGTGGATATAAGTTATTAAAGAACACAAGAAAATTGGATTAGGAATTATTTATAATTTTAAAAATGATTCATTTATTAAAATACGTACATTTTATTATGTAAGTCAACTATAAATATAGAGATAGTTCTAGAAATTATATACTTAATTAATAAAAGTATTGCTCAAGATAGTAGTGAAAAACGTTAAATTTGTGTTAAAAATGATTCTTTTTAGTATTCAAACCTTAGTTTAAAATGAAACCCAATAACATTTCCATAAATATCTAAACTTTATCAACAAACTTACTTCCCTTATATCCAATCATCACTGTTGTCAACTCTTTGTGTCATTTATTTTGTTTGACCGGAAACTCTTTATCTTACGGTTAATCTTCTTGATATTTCAGATGTGGAAAGCCCAAATGCCGATGCATTCTCGATTCACCGACATTAAGACAAAAATAAACTTGATTTTGGTATGAAATTGATTCATTCATTTTCGATCCATTGAGTAAGATTCTTATCCGATGGATGAGTCGGGCAGCCTCTTCCACGCTTCCAACTGTGTGCCCATCCAACAGGTAGTCAAACCAGACAAACTGTCTCCACTTGGACATCGTCTTCGTTTCCCTCATCTTTTTTCCCCTCTGAAGGCGAACGAGTGCACTTTGAATGCAGGTAAATATGGGTTTTGATTAATACTTTTTCGCTTTACTTTTAAGCAAAAGTTCACCGCATTAATATTAATCATTGTTTCAGATTTTTAAGGAGCAGAATCTGAAGGATGATGGTCATATTCGGAGCTACTTGGTTTGTGTGGATCGTTTTAGAATATAATAGTTCCAAGAAAAATGTATTAATAATTCTGTTTTACAGGGTTTTGCAAATATCTGGTGACAGGGGACTCTACGGATTTACAGCAAACCTGAAATTATCAGCTATGAGGAATATTTCCGGAATATTATTACAAACTTTAATATTTTAATAACCCATTCAATTTGTCATATAATTTTATATATTCGAAATATTCAAATAAATCTATAATAAAACATTTTATAATAAAGAAAATTAATAAACTTATAAAAATATATAAAAAAACGTAATCATACCCAATAATTTAGCTGTATAATAATATAATAAATGTAAAACATTATTTATTGAAAATGATTGATATGTATTTAATGAGAGTAAAATATAAAATGAAATATCAAATATGGTTTAATCGGCAGCCAGAAAATAAAATAAAAATAGTTAAGGAATTAAAAATGCAATACCTGAACATGTAAATAAATAAAAGGAAGAAAAAATATGAGCACGAGTTTAATGGTTTTAAAATTAAAAATTAAAAATCATTTTGGTAATTTAGAAAAATGTAAATGTGCAGGGAAAAGGATAAATTTGTTTTTGTTCGTATTAATATATTTACTTTTTATTTAATAGAGTCACCTTTGTTTAAAATTGTACCTGAATGACAATTAAAATATTGATTGAATTGAATCTGAATAGTATTGTAATATTATATTAAAAATACATGTAAACATATCTGCTTTGTACTGATTAAATAACTCAAATTATCCAAGATAAGATATGTCAAATATAAACATATTGATATTTCAAAGCAGAGCGATTCTAATCATTTCGATAATATCCATACCATACATTTCTGTTCTCTATAGATTTTTATATTTTATATTTCATATCTTGTACGACCATTTCTTATCAGAGCTGCGTATGACACCTATAAAAATTTTTTTTAAACTAAATAATTATTTATAAAATGATTAAACATATAATAGCTCAAGCTCAAAGTCAGTCAAACCTTAAAAATAGTCGAATCCATTCATTTACCTAGAAAGATCGTAAATCCTTGTTAATAGATATTATGGCCACCAACGACATTCTTCAATTTAATTCAATCTCAAAGAAGCTAAAAAATTAATACATACACTTTTTATAGTATATTTTCCAATTTAATGGAATTCATTGCGTACCGGAAATGCCGATCGCGCATACGCCACTTACAACGGAAATTAAGTTCCAACCCCGAAAGTATGCAACGCTTTTTGAAATGCAATTTGTGAAGCATACTTATGTGTTTAATTATTGCTCTCAAACATACATATTTACACTTAAACATCTGTTATGATGTATATGTTTGTGCAGTTAAACCAGTTTATTTATTTGCATTGAATCAAAATATTTTTACATTTTCAAAATTAATAGTGTATAAGCTTTTAAATGAAATTTATACAGGGTCCTTCTCCGTAATCTTTGTTTATATCAAAATATGTTTTAATATCAACTTCGCCATTAAAAAAGAAAACTAAAAGAAGCCTCTTTTAATTATAAATTCAATATTTATATTTTAGTCTACATTGTTTCTTCTCAAGTGAAAACTTTATATATGAGAACAATAATGTATTTTAAATATTTTTATATCACAAATATTCCTATTGTTGTTCTTAAAGAAACAAATCCATTTTAATCTGCAGATGGTAAATACCATGTATGTAAATATTTGTAGTTTCTCTATTTTATTAATATTTTAAATGCCATGTAAAAGCAACCCCGTATTTGTTAGGTAATTAATTATTTAAATGTACCCATGCGTTCCTTATATTACAACAAATTAAGATTGCTGCTGAAACTATGAAGAAACTATCACAGAAATTAATCGATTGTTTACTGAATTGTCTTCTTTTATAACCAAACAAACTTCTTGTGACCTTCACACAACCTTTAAGCTTTAAAATCATTTAACCAAATTGTTTAAACAACAATACCTAATCTTATGTCCATTCTAATTGTAAACCATTTTCTGGGTTATTTTATATATGAATATAAAGAGGTATATGTCATAATATCTCCCCCGCTTTCGAGCCGGCTGCGAATATATTTATTGTTTTCCGCTCACTACCTGAATACGAATTAGCATCGGAACCATAAGCAACCCTGTCCTTTCTGCGATCCCCGATCCCCGATCCCCCATTAATGCGAAATATACGAAAGTAATGTCTTGAGCAGTCGCCGGATCGTGCTCCATAAATCATGCCAAAACCGAGTTCGGGGCGCATAGAAAGTCAAAGTAAGCTGGCATCACTTAAAGTCATTCAGGCATTTATTTATGTCAAAACATTGTCCGCTTAGCTGCAGGACTCCGAGAAGGAGGAACCCGAACGCCGAGGGGTCAGTTGGCCAGTCGAATGTATAACTCAATTATAGGCGGCTGTGTGCTCACCTCGCAGCGGGGCGTCGGGCATTAGACACTGCTCCTTCGAAGCCTCTGCTCATCCGATTTTGCCTGAGGATCAGACAATGCTCCTGCGGCGATCGGGGTCATTGCGGTTTCACTTCGGGCCCGGGGCTGTCTCTCCGATTCTGCAGGACGAGATAACGATATCTAGGAGTCTAGGACTAGATGTCATTAGAAGCCCGCCAGCAATACTCAATGAAACAGCCCCCTGCCACGGGTTTGTCTCTATCATCTGGATGGGGGATTGGGATCGGGATTGGGATCAGAACTGAGACAGAGACGGAGACAGAGATTCCTGTGTGGCCCGCAATCGGATCGCTTAGCTCAGCTTTGCCCACGATCGACCTCCAAGGGCACTGGACATGATTCTGTTTAACGAGAACAATGTTTCTGGCAATTCCTGCCGCGGCCACCTCGTAGTTAGCTTCGTTGGCGATCGCCTTTATTTGCGGTTTCTGGGCGAGATCGGGGGCCCAGGCAACCGGATGACGGGGTAACAACTACACGACGGCAGCGGATCGTGCAAAAGTACAGCGACGGGATGGCAGGTGGCGCCGGCGCCGATTTGAATTTGAATATGAGAAGGAACTGCGGAAAGGATTTAAGATCAGTATTGTCTCCTTCCCCACAGACCAGTTTTTTATGAAAGATCTTTTAATGTATGTTTATGTATGAAGCTATAACACTTTGGAAACACAAAGAGAGGATCTTGTTTGTAATAATCGGGAAAAAATACTTTTATAAATAACATGCATTAATACCAAATATAAATTGTATTCAGAAACTTGATGGTTATTATATTTAAGAACAAGAAAGAAAGCTAACTTTGGCCAGCCAAAGTTTGTATACCCTTGCAGGTAACAATTAAAATATATCATAACTAAGCCAAAAATGCATTAATTTCGATTTGGAAAGCAGTTTTGTGTTAGTTTTTATTAATTTAAAAAAACTGCATACCAAATTTAAAATTTTCAGAAATCAAAATTTTTGGCAATTTTGTGCTAATTTTAATGATGTAACCCCTTATAAAATTTCGGGAAAATGGCCAAAAAATCGATTTCTTCCGGACATGTCTAGAAAGATTCGCATGTTAATGCTGATCAAGAATATATATGGTTTATAGGGTCGAAAATGATTCCTTGACTTAGAAAAATATTATTTTGTATTATAAAATCGGATTTTTTATATTAAAAAACTCCTTGATTTTTTTAAATTAAAAATATCATAACTCGGCCAGAAGAGCATTAATTTTAAATCGGAAAACTGTTCTGTGCAAGATTTTCTACAATTAATAAATCTGCATACTTCATTTAAAAATTTTGAAAATTCAATTTTTTATCAAAATCAAAAATTTTAATGATGTAACCCCTTATAAAATTTTGCAAAAATGGCAAAAAATCGATTTCTTCCTGACATATCTAGAAAGATTCCCCTGTTGATGCTGATCAAAAATATATATACTTTATAGGGTCGGAAACGTCTCCTTCACTGCGTTGCAAACTTCTGACTGAAATTAAAATACCATGCAAGGGTATAAAAATAAATAAGTGAATTAATATACTGAGGCTATAGTCCCAATTTTATGTTTTAATACAGAAAATCCCTTTTAGAAAATGCCTTTATTTTATTTCTAATAAACGAAAATCAAATTTCACTTCTGATCCCATAGAAAATGTGAAATAAATAACGATTCGAAGGAACTATTATTCTGCAAAGGAAGTCAATATAAATTCATATTTGTTTGTATATACATAATGTTTGAAATTGAATTATTGTAATCGAAGTAGGAATCGATCATTGCAAAGTAAACAAATCATTTATTTTAATTTATAACGCTTTTCTATATTAATAATCATCATGAAAAATCTGCACAGTAATTTAAATATTTAAAAATAAAATTTTTGTCAACTTTAATGATGTAACCCTCTTAAAAAATGTAAAAATTGGGGCAACAGTTTTTTAACAATTAATACAATAAGATTTTAATTTCCCATCTGAATGTATAAGGATTTTGGATGGCTACTTGGCCATCTTGTGTCTTGAAGAAGAACTAAAGTACCAGCATTTTTAAATCGATATTCATAGATAGTTGGCAAATCAATATTTAACAACCAAGTCAAAAAAGCATTAAATATTTACCTTAAAAGATACATATGTACTATAAAAGAAAAGAGGAATTCCTTTATAAATAAAAACCGACGTCTATCATAAAATATTACTATGTATACACACTTTCTTGAATAGCTATATAAATGTCAATCCAGGAAGGTAAAGATTAACAGCAGGCGTTTGCAGCGGCACGCCCCTGAAATGAGCACAGTGGCATAGTTAATATGTAATCCCCGACACGTGGAGTAAATTATGTTCCTTGAAGGGCTGCCATTAGGACGAGTGCGTCTTGGACACTCCCCGCAATCAATAGATCTGTATCCCCGAATGTTATTTTGGGGTGGAAAAGTGTGTGGTGTTAACGTGAAATAACTGATGTAGCAGTTTATCTATTGGAATTATTTTGAGACTATTAATTAAAGGAATTTCTGGTAGTTTGATCTTTTGGTATTGCTGATTAAATATAAAAGTTAGAGAATTGTGAATAATTTACCAATTTTGGTCACTCAATGAATTCCAGAATCATTTCGAAAAATCTCAAATACCCTTTCAAGTGCTGAATATAGACTAAGAGGATCGGCATCCTTATCTTATTCCCACGTTTGTACGATCTCCTGGTAGCCTTT